TTCAGTCTGTGTTAGTTTAGGTAAGTGGTGTGTTTCTAGAAAACTGTCCATTTCCTCCAGATTTTCAAATTTGTTGGAATACAGTTCTTCATAGTATGCCCCAGGCATACTTGGATAGCTGGATGTCAGGAAAACCTTCAAATCTGGGCCCCAGGAAGAGCAGGAAGCTGAGAGCCTGGATGGGGTGCTGAGTGTGATGGGGTCTAGGACCTGGGTCTGTGCCCCACTGTGATCCACTCACTATCCATTTCCCTGCAGCCGTTCAGGTTCAGCCTGCTCTCAGAGCTGGGAACCAACAGCCCCTCTTCCAAGAAGTTGTCCTGGACTCCATCTTCATCCCCACCCCCAGTGAGGCTGGTTTCCCCTCAGTGCATCAACCTCTCTCCTTGATTCAGATATGAAGGAGCGCAGTCCAAGTGTCCTGCCCTGGGAGAGTCCATGCGACCCTCTGGCTTGGGCTCAGAGAAGAGCAGAGCCACCCTCCAGCTAGGCCTCAGGGACAAGAGAATGGAGCCACATCACTCTCAGGCAGGGACTCAGAGGCCAAGGGACGAAGCTGGGCCACCTTCAGGCTGGGGCTCTTGGACTAGGGGACAAAGCTGGGCCAACCTCAGGCTGGGACTCGGGGATGAGGGGACAGAGCTAAGTCACAATCAGCCTGGGGCTTGGGGCTAGAGCTGGGCCAACCTCAAGTTGGGGTTCAGGGAAAGGAGACAGAACTGGATCACCCTTAGGCTGAGTCTCTGAGATGAGGGGACAGAGTGGGGTCACTCTTAGGGGACTAAGATGGGCCACACTTAAAATGGGGCTCCAGAGTGAGGGGCCAGACCAGGTCCACCCTGAGAATGCAGATCTGGGACAAAGACACTGAGCAGGCTGGGGCTCAGAGGCTCTGATTGTGAGCCAGACCACCCTCAGTTTGGGGCTCTGGGATGAGAGGAGAGAGCTGGGCCAAGCTCAGGCTGGGACACATAGGTGAGCGGAATGAGCTGTGCCATCCTCAGATTGGGGCATGGGAACCAGGACAAGGAAGTTGGTCACCCTCAGGTTGGGGCTCAGGGACCGGGGGACCCAGGTGGGCCACCCACAGGCTAGGGCTCAGAGTCTCAAAGGAAGACCAGACCAACCTGAGGATGGGGCTCTGGAATGGAGCTGGGCCACCCTTAGGATGGGGTACAGAGGTTCAGGGGCAGAGCCATGCCACCCTCATGCTTGGTCTCAGAGAAGTAGCTGGGAAAACCTCAGGCTGGGGCTCAGGGACAAAGAGACAGAGTTGGGTCACTCTCAGTCTGGGACTCAGAGGCTCAGAGGTCAAGTTGGGCCACCCTCAGATGGGGACTCAATGGCTCAGTGGATGAAGCTAGGTCATCCTCAGGCTGGGGCTCAGGGACAAAGAGACAGAGTTGGGTCACTCTCAGTCTGGGACTCAGAGGCTCAGAGGTCAAGTTGGGCCACCCTCAGATGGGGACTCAATGGCTCAGTGGATGAAGCTAGGTCATCCTCAGGCTGGGGCTCAGGGACAAGGGGACAGAGATGGGTCACTCTCAGGCTGGGACTCAGAGGCTCAGGGACAAATCCAGGCCACCCTTAGGATAGGGCTTGGTGATGAGGGGACAGACCCAGGCCACCTTCAGGATGGGCCTCAGGGATGAAGGGACTGAGCTATATCAAGGGGACAGAGCTGAGACACCTTCAGGCTGGGGCTCTAGGACAAGGGGACAGAGGTGAGTTACGATCAGGATGGAGACCGATGCTAGTGCTGGGCAACCCTCAGGCTGGGGCTTGAGGACAATGGGACAGATCTGGGTCACCCTCAGGCTGGAGCACAGAGCCTCAGGGGCAGAGCCATGCCACCCTCAGTCTTGGGCTCAGAGAAGTACCTTACTTTGGGGCTCGGGGCCAAGGAGACAGAACTGGGTCACTCTCAGGCTGGGACTCAGAGGCTCATGGAATGAAGCTAGGTCACCCTCTTGCTGGGGCTCAGGGACAAGGGGACAGACCTGAGTCACAATCATGCTGGGGCTTGTGGCTAGAGCCACGCCACCCTCAGACTGGGGCTCAGGGGAAGGGGACAGACCTGGGCCACCCTCAGGTTGGGGTCCGGGGATGAATAGATACAGCAGGGCCACCCTCAGGCTGGATCTGTGGGGTGAGGTGTCAGAGCTGGGCCACCCTCAGGCTGAGGCTCTTGGAATAGGGAATAGAGCCAGGCCACTCTCAGTCTGGGGCTCTGAAGCAAGGGGACTGATTCGGGCCACCCTCTTTTTGGGATCTGGGGACAAGGACACCATGCTGGGTCATCCTCATGCTGGGGCTCTGGGACTCAGAGGCTCAGGGAGATGTGGGCCTCCCTCAGGCTGGGGCTAAGGGGCAAGAGGACAGAGCTTGGCAACCCTACGGCTGGTATTCTGGGACAAGGGAACAGAGCCAGACCATCCTCAGGCTGGGGCTCAGTGACGGGGCTAGGTGACAGAGAAACCCTCAGGCTGGGTTTCAAAGGCTCAGGTACAGAGCCACCCTTAGGCTGGGCCTCAGGGATGGAGATGGGTGACCATTAGGCTGGAGCTCAGGCTCGAGGACACAGAGCCAGGCCACCCTCAGGCTGGGACTCGGGGACGAGGAGATGGAGCCAGGCCAGCTTCAGGCTTGGACTCTGTGGTGAGTGTACTGACGGCCACCTCAGGCTGAGGATCAGAGGCTTAGGGACAGAGCCGGGCAGCCCTCAGGCTGGGGCTCGGGGACGAAGACAGGGAGTTGGGCCACACTCAGAATGGGGATCAAGATTGAGGACACAGAGCTGGGAGACCCTCAGTCTCAGGCTTGAGGACAGAGCTGGTGCACCCTCAGCTGGTGCTCTGGGAGGAGAGGCCAAAATGGGCTTCCTTTAAGCTGTTTTTTCTTGGACAGAGCTGTGCCTCCCTCAGGCTGGGCCTCAGGGAGGAGGACATGGAGTTGGACCACCCTCAAGTTGGGGCTCAGGGACCAGGGGACAGAGCTGGGCCACCCTCAGGCTGTGGCTCAGGAACAGAACAGGGTCACCCTCAGGCTGGGGTTCAGGCATGAGAAGAAGGAACTGAGCCACTTCACACTGGGGCTCAGAGGTTCAGCTGGGCCACCCTCAAGCTGGGGCTCCTCGGTGAGAGGATTGACTGGGCCACCTCAGATTGAGGATAAGAGGCTCAGGGGCAGAGCTGGGTCACCTTCAGCTTGGGGCCTAGGGACATAACTGGACCACCCTCAGGCTGGGGTTATGGGTCAAGGGAATCAATCCAGGCCACAATCAGGCTGGGTCCTGGGGACAGATTTGGGTCACCCTCAGTCTGGGGCTCAGGTATGGAACTAGGCCACCCTCCGGCAGGGGCTTGTGCATGAGGGGACAGAGCTGGGCCACCCTCATGCTGGGGCTCAGGGACTAGGGGACAGAGCTGGGCCACCTTCAGGCTAAGGCTTAGAAGCTCAGGGGCAGAACAATGCCACCCTCAGGCTGGGACCCAAAGGCTCTGGGACAAAGCTAGGCCACCCTCAGGCTGCAGCTCTAGGACAGAGGGACTTAGCTGGGTCACCTTCAGGCTGGGGTTTAGAGGCTCAGGGATGGAGGTGGGCCACCCTCATTCTGGGGTTCAGAGGATCAGGGGCATAGCTGGGCTACCCACAGGATGGGGCTCTGGGACAGATCTGGGCCACCCTCAAGCTAGGCCTCTGGAGCTCTAGGCTGGATTCAGGCCATCCTCAGCTTGGGCTCAGGAACAGACCTTGACCACCCTCAGCCTGGGGCTCAGGGACTGAGCTGGGCCATCTTCAAGCTGGGGCTCAGAGGCTCAGGGGTGGAAAAATGCCACCCTCAAGCTGGGGCTCAAAGGGTCCAGGACATAGCTGGGCTACCCTCAGGCTGTGGCTCTGAGACAAAGGGACTTAGCTGGGTCACTCTCAGGCTGGGATTCAGAGGTACAGGGGTAGACCTTGACCATCCTCAGGCTGGGGCTCTGGGACTGAGCTGGGTCACCCTCAGGCTGGGGCTCAAGGATGAAGGGAAAGAGCCAAACAGGTTGCTCCAGACACCAGCCACCAAGCATCTCTGCTGCAAGTGATCTGGTTATATGAGGTTGCATGGCATCAGTGTAGCATGGGGTCACCCTGGGTGTGATCCCCCAGCTGTGGAGGAAGATTCTACCCTCCAGACAAACAGACCAGGGGCCCCTCAACTAGCCCTTCACAGCTCCTGGCCCAAGGCCTTCTGGAGGGCATGCTGAGGTCTCCACATGGATTCTAACCCCGTGCTCCCAAATCAAACCCCAGGAATAAGGCAGGGTGCACAGCTATCCCCTCAGGTGATGACCCTGAAGGCATGGCACTGGGTAGGAGGCTACAGGAAAACTCTCTAGTGAAGGGATAATCTCAGGACATTGTGTATTCTGAAGCCCAGCATCCTCAGTGTTCCCACTGCCCACTCCTGGACTGAGGAGCTCTGGTGGCATAGTGCCTAAGGCACTTGACTGCTAACCAGAAGCCTGGAAGTTCAAACCCACCAGCCACTCCTCGAAAAGAAGGTTGGGCAATCTACCTTCATAGTTAAACTGCCTCAAAAACCCAAGGAGGGGTCTCTATGAGTCAGGTCTGACTTGATGACACATACAACACACGGGCTGAGTCCCTCTAGCAGCCTTCCCAGAAGGAACCAACATGGCTGACACCCTGATTCAGACCCAGCCTCAACAAGTGTGGGTTCTCTGTGTCCCACTGTGTGTTCTTGTTCAGGCATCCGGGAGCACTGAGCAGCTGATAGTTTCTCAAAACCTGGTGCCAGGACATTGTGAGCAGGAGGGGAGCAGGCAGCCAAGGTGGGGGGGTAGGGGAGGATTGAGGCTGGAAGGCCCCATGTGACCACTCACCCAAGAGTTTTGCCATGAGGACCTGCTGTCCATTTAACCCACCCTCACAGTACAGGAGGCAATGGTCTCTCACGTGGGTCCTTTCAATGAACATGAGATGCCTGCCCCCTTCTAGGGAAGAAGAGGCATAAGGTCCTGCTTCAACCAAGCAATCCTTTTTTGGAAAAATCCATGGAGCTCACTCGTGGTGCATGGCTAGGTAGCATCTGAGCTCCTTTCCCCCACATGCTCCTGACCCAGGGATCCCCTCAATATGAGGGCTGGAGAGGAGGCCACACCCCAAAGCCTATGCAGGGAATGGCAGGTCTGTGTGGGCAGAAGGTGGAACCCTGGGGCCCAGTCTCTACCAGAACAATATGTCCCCCCATGTGCACACAGTGGTTCCCAAATGCAAGCCCTAGACAGGTCCTTCCCTTCTGGGAACAAGGCTCTCAAGCCTGGGGTCTGGTGACAGGTACTCCCATCTTTCAGGTAAAGGCCTGTGGGAGCAAGGGGCACCTAATGAGGGTCTGCAAGGAGTAAAAAAGAAAAACCACCTGTCATCGAGTTGATTCTGACTCCAGTGCCCCTAGAGGACAGAGTAGAATTGTACCAGAGGGTCTCCAAGGCTGTAATCTTTATGGAAGCCACCTGCCTCACCTTTCTCCTGGAGAATGACTGGTAGGTTTGAAATGCTGGCCTTTTGGTTAGCAGCTGAGTGCTTTAACCATTATACCACCAGAGCTCCTGTCAGCAGGGAGTGGGACTCCTCACTGGCCCCACGGATCCTCTGCCAGAGTATGTCAGGGGTACAGCTGCTGGGTTCTGGCACTCACAGACTGTGAATTCGCTGGACTCATTGGTTTTCTTCAGGTCCAGCTTCTTCTCTTGGCACTATCTGTTCATCCTGGAAGAGCAGAATCCACATGTGGGCAACGGTCCTGGCATTGTCTGCTTACCTTAACCTCAGCCATCCCCAAGCAGCTATAGGCTATCTTCCTCAGGCTGTGTACCTGGCCTGCTCTGGAGTAGCCTCACTGGGTGGCTCTCTCATATTGAAGCTCATAGACCCGCCCACTCACTTTGGCTGGCCCAGCAAGGGAAAGGCCGAGTAAGGGGCTTTTGAAAAAAATGCATGTTGCTGTGCTAGGGTCAGTGGATTCCTGAGGGTTAGTCGTCAAGACAGACAACACACATTGTTACACCACACAGAGGGGAGTCATACAGGGGGGAGTCACACAGGGAAAGTCACATAGTGGGAGCCACACAGGATGGAGACACACCAAGGGAAGTCACACAGGGGGAGTCACATAGGGGGGAGTGACAAAGCAGGGAGTCACATCTGGGAGACACACAGGAGGAGTCACACAAGTGACAGCCACATGGGGAGAGTCCCATGGGAGCCTCAGAGCAGCCTTTCCACTTTCTCCCAAGCATTCTTCCTGCATTATTCTGCAAAGCCTGTCCCTGCAGAGCTCCAGTTTATTTCAAGGGTATAAATCAAGGGTCTGAGTGTGGTCTGAGGTAAAATGTCTTTCTTGAGGGGCCTGTGGCAGCCAGCAGCTCCCCAGTCAGCAGAGCAGGGGAGGCCCAGTACCCCAGTGGCCTGGATCAGGGTACCCCATACAGAGCCTCCCCTTCAAAGTCACTGGGCTGAGAGTCATGGGAGAGGTGAGAAGGGACACATGACCTGCCTGTCCTCTACCCAAGCAGGCCTTGGTCTGTGGAAAGCAAAGACCCTGTGGGTCTGGGCCACTCTCCTTTCAACAGTCACAGCATGGTAGCCTTTAATTCCAGGTTGCCTCCCTCTAGGACTGTGAGAGTAATGGGGGCCATGGCCTCCAGCTTCTTCCCTGGGACCTCCTTGTCTGCTACCATGGCCTTCAGATACCATGACCCCTGGACCTAAGAAGTTCCTCTCCATCAGGGCTGGGAATAGCCCAGCCACTCCTCCAGGATACCCCCACCCTTCTCAGCCTAGGCAAATCCCAACTCTACCCCAAATGCTGGTAACAAAGGCATTCCTGAACCACCCCCTCCTTACCAACACCCCAGATATGCTGCTGGACCCGACACAGAACACTGGCTCAAACCCTTGTACTCCATCCCAGTCCAGGTCACTAGGAGGGACAGGTGAGGTCTGTCCAACTACTATCCATGCCCCCAGCCTCTCTGCACCATGGGAGATCTGTCTGACTGCCTCCCAGGGGAAAATGCCTGACCCATACATGAGGGCCTCCTGGATGGGGCCTGGACCTGGGTCTGAGCAGTCCCCAGACCCTCATAGGCTGGCCCCAATCCATATGTGCTCACAAGCTCATGCATGGCTGGGGTGGCCTGGGACTGCAGGGTGATGATGAGGCTGGACACTAAGGTCAGGAGCAGTGTCTGTACCACAGTTGGAGTCCACGCACCCAGCAAAGTCACTCATGGTACTCGGTAGCTGTGCTGGATCCCCACAGCCACACTTTATTCCCTGGTCAAGTCCTTGGGGAATCTGGCAAAGATGGAGGTCACCTCCTACCCTAGCCACAAGCCGTCCCAATTGCACACTGGAGCAGACAAGGGTCCTTATTGTTGGAAACTGCTGAATAGCAACTGCTCAGGGCCATCAACACAGCTTGTGCTGGAGAAGATTTTTCAGAATGTTTGGCTTGGAGAGAAAGCACTGTCAGGTGAGGGGTGTGGGGTGTGACCCCTGCTCTCAGATCTCAGGCAGCAGCACGGCAGGGCTACAGAGGAGAGGGCTGAGGTCAGACCCAGATCTGGACCTCAGTGGGCCTTCTTGTGTCCCAGGACAAGTCACTAATCTGCTGTCAGCCTCATACTCATCATGGAAGCAAAGGGGGCTACTGCTGAGAGGGGTGCTGAGAGGATGTGGAAGCCCCAGACCTTGTTTCCCTATGAACTAAGGTCTGAGGTGCAGCTAGCTTTGGGCACCATGATGGATCACACTGTTTCCAATAGATATGTGTTGGATTCTAAGCCTATGTTTGGGATGTGACCATCAGCCAGTAGGGGGACGAGCTCACACAGTGTAGGAGATGTCTGCAATCTCACTGACTCAGAGATGTAAAAAGCAAAGCCAACCCACTACCATCGAGTTGATTCCAACTCATAGTGACCCCACTGGGTTTCCAAAGCTGTGTTTTGGTGCCTTAGTGCCACTCTAACAGAAAACACCACATATGTGTGGCTTTATCAAACAAGAGTTTATTCTCTGACAGTTTTGGAGGCTAGATGTCTGAGTTTAAGTGCCAGCTGTAGTGGCTGGGTGAAAACCCCTCAACCTTGGGCTTCAGCTCTGCCTCTTGCTCCAGGCCCACTTAGGCTAGAGGCTTTTCTTCACTCAGGCAGCTGCTGGCTGCTGAGGTTGACAAAACCAAGGGCGACAAGTAAAAAGGCACAGTCCAAATATTACCAAACCACAAGGCAGACCATTGATTCAAGTCCATTAAGAGTCCCCATGGTCAGACAACATGTCAGGCTGCTAAACAATGACTCAGCTACATGCAAGATTCAGGTATGCCGAAAGCTACAGACCGTTCCTAAAGCTTCTCCTTATACACTGGGAGCAGACCACATCCCTGAAGCTGCTACTCAGATGCTCAAAGCAGATTCCTCCATGGAGTTGATGACCAGTGTCATCATGGGCAATCACTACATCCAGCAGTCCAGACAGCAAAACCAGGCTGAGTCAAGTTGACACACAACCTTAACTACCAGAAGTTGAATATCTTTATGAAGCAAACTGGCTTATTTTCTTTGTCAGAATGGTCAGTGGGTTTGAATCACCAAACTTTTGGTTAACATCCAAATGCTTTACCCACTGTACCACCAGAGCTCCTAGTGAGATATTAGGAGGAACAGATTAGGCACCAAAACAAGGATGCAGGAAAGACAGACACACAACAGGGGACCTCCAAGGAACACCGAGAAGAACATGAGTAGCTGAGACAAGGGCCTTCCCCGGAGCATGCCCTGAATTCAGACTTCTAGTCACCTGGACTGTGAGAGAATAAATTTGTATGTGAAAGCTGCCTACGCATGGTGTTTCCATGACAGCTGGGAGACCATGGCTGGCCCAAACCCCACAGCCCATGTTGTCCCCTTTTCTAGGATGATGTGCCTTCCCTGGTCACCTTTGACCTTTCCCTTGCTGACTCTCCAGCTTCCTCTTAATTCCTCACTGTCAGTGTCCACCAAGCCACAGAAATGTCAATGCCCATGACCTGGTCCGACAGGTTCCCTGGGGATTCCCCTGCAGGGTCCTACACATCCAAATCCTATGGGCATCCCTAGCGTGTGGCCTGTCTTCCCACCACTTCTCCCCACGCCTCTAAGGGCATTGTGCATCCTTTCCTTATACACATCTTAGATATTTGGGACTTTAAGGGGGTTTTCTGGGCATCTTGTAGACCCATCTGTGAGATTGGCTGGCCATAGCCCTTGGGCTACCCTGTGTCTGGGATGATGTTAATGCAAGAAGCCAGAGGTCAGGAAGCCAATGGTGGTTGGCCTGGCCTCCCCTTCCTCCATCCAAGCCCATTTGTCCAGAGCTCTGGCTTGAAATGTGTCCCAAAAAAATATGTTGAAGGTTTAGTGACCCCCAGTAGCTGGGAACCCAACCTTGCTTGGAAATAGGCCTTTTGAAGAGGTTACCAGTTAACATGGGGTCATGTTGAAGTTGGTGGGCCCTGATCCTATGTGAGTGGTGTCCTTATGTGAGAAGAGATACAGACAGGGAGACACAGGGAAGATGGTCATGTGATGATGGAGACAGAGATGGCAGTGATACAGCCACAAGCCAAGGAGGACCACAATCCCCATTGTCACCAGAGCTATGAGAGAGCCATGGGACAAATTCTCCCTCTGAGCCTAAGAAGGAACCAACCCTATGGACAGCTGAATTTGGGTTTCTGGTTCATAGAACCTGAGACAACACCCTTTTGTCCTCATAAGCTAGCACTTTGGTGAGGCATCCCCAGGACACTTGGACACATGGCATTTGCTCCTCCCACAGACACTTGTCCCTGGGAATGCTGACCACCTTCCCAGCTCCAAGGCAAGCCTGATTGGCCTTGTAGTGACCCTGTCCCTCAAGTCTGTGACTTTTCAGAAACATCTCGGGGGACATGAGAAGTAGGAAGTCACCTGAGAACATAGCAGGAGCACCATCAGGACAAGGCAGCCAGCCAGACAGCAATCAGCTCATTCTCAAGGACAGCATGGAAGCTTGCCCAAACCTCAGTCTCCAGCTGTGGGAGCTGATGCATGGCCTGGTGGATGCTGCAGCATGAGGTCAGTGGACAGTGGTGGTCAGGGGTTGTGGTGCTGTGACCATCAGAGGACAGGAGGTGACATGTGGGGACTCTGAATGGCCACCAGCAGAGGCGGCTATCCAGCCACAAAGAATGAGACAGCTCACCAAACCAACAGTATGCACCCTGAGATTAGCAGCAGCTGAATTTATCAGCATCAGAGGCAAACCTGCCTCCAAACAGCAAGTCTTTGCTCACTGACTGTTACCTGGCTTGCTGGGCCCTGCAAAGCCAAGTTCAATGTCTGCTTGGGCACTGCCTCTAGCTGGCTGGGCTGCTCCATGGGGCACATGAAGCTGGCAGTTGACTTGGCCGTTATGACCTCAAGCTAGTGCAGTGACCCCCAGATGGCGGGGCCAGACCCACCGTGCCCCGTCCACCCAGCAGCTTCTGGCCAGAGGAGACCAGACTCTGTGGTTCCTTTTTGTGTTATTTTGCAGGAGGAAGTGGGTGTAGACAATGGCAGAAACTCTCAGGCAATATGGCTGGCTAAGCCGAAAGCCGCCAACACACACTTGGACTCGCCCTAATCCAACCCCAAAGAATGGAAAGTTATTTATAAAATCCACTGGTTTTGTGCTGGAAATGGGTTTAGGGTTCTCTTCCACCTCTGCCCCAGTGAAGTCACAGAATCACTGGACTATGCATCTTCACACCAGGGAGTCATCAGTTTAAATGGAGGATGAACAGATTTCTAGTGTATTTATAGGATTGTGCACTATCAGCATGTCCTCGAGAACGTTACCGGTCCGCCCCAGCCCCCTATCCCAGCCTGGACCCAGACAGGATCCAGCTAGGATCCAGCTGGTCAAGCCAAGCCTAGCCCAGCTGAGCCCCAGCCAACCACTCCCAGCCACATTCAGTCACTCCCAGCCCTGCCCCAGCCCTACTCTCAGCCCCGCCCAACTACTAGTCATGTCCAGTCACATCCTGCCACCACCCAGCCCTGCCCAGCCCCTCCCAGCCCTGCCACACCAAATCCTGCCCCAGTGCCTCCTCAGTCCTAGGTACCCACTGACCAGCTTCCTTCGTAGACTTGTCTAGCCTCAATATTTCATTTAAATAGATGCATACAATCCATGGTCTTTTGTATCTGGCTTCTTTACTTCAGAGCCATGTTTTCAAGGTTTCCACATTGTGCATGGATCAGACGTCCTTCCTTTTTATTGCTGAGTAATGTTCAGTTTTTAGGGCACTCTTATAGCTCACCAAATGATTGGCTTCAAGCCTACCAGATGCTCCAAGGAGAAAGACAAGGCAGTTGGTTTTGGTAAAGATGGACAGACTTGGAATTCTTGTGAGGCAGTTCTACTCTGCCCTTTAGGGACACTGTGAGTCAGAGTCGACTGACAGCAGTGGATTTGGTTTGGACTTTGTTTCTCTACAGACTAAGGAGCTCTGGTGGTCCAGTGCCTAGGACATTTGACTGTTAACCAGAAGGTTGGTGGTTCAAACCCATTAGCCACAGCATGGAAGAAAGAAAGGCTATCTACCTCCATAAAGATTTACTTCTTTGGAGACATCACTATAAGTCAGAGTCATAACGAAGCAGTTCCACTCTGTCCTCTAGGGGCGTTGTGAGTTGGAGTTGACTCAATGGCAGAGACTTTTTTTTTTTTTAATATTCCCTCTGGGGATGGACCACATCTTGTTTACCCATTCCTCAGTTCCTGGACATTTGGGCCAGCCGACTTGGCAGAGAGAAGTCGTGGGGAAAACAGAGACCCTGAGACAAGTTGAGTTGGGAAAAGAGCTAAGGAGAGACCAGGGGTGGAGGCCAGTGTCAAGGTCTAAGGTGGGAGTTGTGGGGGTCCCAGGCATAGGGTCTAGGCTTATGGTCCTCACCCTGGAGGATGCCACCTGAGCCTAGCCTGCATGCTCTCTGCAGGCTCAGCTGTCCTTCCACATGGACATACTTTGCTGACTACCAGCAGCTGAACCATAACATGGTTGTAGACAGAGTGAGGGGTTGGCCAAAGCCCTCAGTGCCCCCATTACTCTCCTGCCAGGGTTTAGATTGGGGGAGCAGGACCTGAAGACTTCTGCCC